ATTGCAAGGGAAGCTAAGACCAAACCACAGGAAGATTTATATCAAATTGAACTACGAAGCACTCTGTTCTAAACGTCTTCCCATCCCACTCCGGCAACCCACGAATGGAAAAAACTTATTGATCTACACTGTTCTATATGTATCCAGCTTTACCGAACATCAGATTATCGAGATGATCTCTGTCGAGCAACTCGATGGCTTGAAGGTCGACTACACTTGAGCCCACGATCTCGGCCTATTGCTCGTAAACGATCCCCATCGGCACCACGATTTACAGCGGACTATCGATCACGGAGGGCAGTGAACGATTCGTCGGGATCCAGCTACGGCAGTGGTAATAATGGCGGTACCGGTCGTATGGGACGAAGTCCGAGCATCACGGGAAGGTCACCGGATCATCCCGGTCGGAACGGTATTGAGCAGGGCAATATGGGTATGCCAGATAAAACGGAAATGGAAGCTATGTTGCGTGTGGTCAATGACGCCTGTCGATTCATGGATATGATTCCGCCAGGATCAACGGTAAGTAGTCGTTAATCAAATCAACGGTTTCTGACTTCCATTGGGAATGTTTTGGTATAATCTTGATATACGTTTACAGCAACCAACAGAGGGATTTCATAATATTAAAAAAGACTAGACAGTGAAAATTGAAGTTATTGCGAATTTGTCATATTCTATTTGGAAAGCACCGCAGAATAGGAAAAATTCAGTGTTTAAGATTTTTGTTTTCGATTGAAGTTTTATTTTTCAAAGTGCTGTGTTCAGTAGCCTCCGTCGGATGAATAGTATCGGTGGAAATTGATTCGAATAGTTTCATTGTCCAGAATCACGATAGCAAGATTACTCAAAAAGTTAGCGGTGGTTGGCATAAGATATTCGGGGAATGGTTCGGTTTGATAAATCTTCGTAGACCCGAGAAAACCAGACAGTTTTTAAAATAGCGGATTCGGAAGTTGCAAGAAAATAGAAATATATAATTCCCTATAATGTAGGTTGGCGGCTCAAGTTACCTATAGTCCTCTTTTACACGAAAGAAAAATTCCCTGAGTGACCATGAGGTTATGATGGAGTAGGCAGCGGTTTGAGGTCGCAACGTGCATTCAATGTTTAATCATTCATTTGTTCAGGGCATTTACTTGCGACTTTCTCAACAAAAGATCTCATCACTCATAGACAAGCGTAGCAATCTACTGACAACTTGGGAGGTGAACCGATTCTTTCTCTTGCCTAAAAGTGGGTCAGCTTCGCGGGCAAATCTATGAGAATATGGCAAAAAGGTGTATTTCTGACACTGCTGTGCTCTCTGTTCTTTGAATATATGCCTTGAATCTTTGCACTCGAAAGTGTTACCTCAATGACAAAGGAGTAATGATGATAAAGATACTTTTGGGGGGACCGGACAAGAAAATCGCATGAGGTTTTCAAAGGTATTTTCAACTTGTTTGATACGGACAAATCCAATATCAGAGTTCCTAAATCTCCAACCACGCTTGTGGTGTGACTGAAGTCAACACTGCGCTAAGCCGACCGACTGATCATCGACTTAATTGATCCCATTCTTATCCCTAAATGGTACCACTCGTAGGTGCTCTCGGACAGGCGCCGATTCGTGGGACCGGTACAATTTACTTCAAGCAATCAGATGAATGAATAAACACAGAAGGCATTTGAATACTGCGTGCTCTGTCCTACAAACGTAAACTTATTCGCGAAACCTCCATTTGTGAATCATTATAAACCGTTGTGATGTCTTAACATTATGTTTTCTTGAACTATTAACATTCATATTATAATGTTAACCATCCGTAAATATGTACAAGCTGTCCCATCTCCGGGATGTCATTTGAACTGCGGATTGATCGCAGTCCTGGTGGTAAATTATACGAGTTCCAAAAGGGCAGCTTGCAGAACGAAAACGGTTAAGGCAAGGAGAACAATATTGACTTTTACTCTTGTGATATTGTGTGGCTTTCCATCCACATGAACTGACCTCAACCAATTCGAGCAACGGGTATTGCCACATTCTACTATTCAACGTCTGTCTTGTCCTTTAGGGACATTACAAGCCGCACATCTGCATGCGTACATTTTGTAACCAAAGCTCCCCATGTATGGGAAACGCCGGTGATCTGTATGCTCAGTGACTATGGTAACAGGAAAACCAATCGAAGCGCAACATCCTATTTTGTAACCTAGCTATCGTCCCATTAGTGAACAGGTTACCACTTGAACATCAATCAATTAGCCAACCATACACCAGGGTACGAAATCTTCATTTCCCCGATGGGTCCACACGGTTGTTAATGCTAATGCCACTACGTTCCCATGCGCGCGCGTGCACACACACACAAAGATAACGCAAACACACTTGGCACACTTGTTTGTCCGTGTGTCACGTGAACAAGCAAGTATTTACGGGTTCTTTATCCCAGATGCCTGTGACAGCATGTGTGTGCCATCCTATCGATGAATTCCATGAGTAAGCACGGATGTGACAAATTGTACCAGTATATTCTGATCCCTAGTTACGTTAAATGCAATGGAAATCCGTTGTTGTTTAACGCAGATGCACTTGATCTGATCTCGCATGTTGTTTCTGTTCAATTCATACCAGAACAAATCGAATGAATCGGCCTTGGAAAACAGCGCGATTGTGCTCAGAAATTCGGGGATAAACACGAGGTAAGTGAAACAAACGAGATTATTCAATCGTTTTATTGTTTGAATAAATGTGTAGTTGTAAAGTGGACAGTTCTGTTATCGGATGCGTCTGGTGCAACCTTTATCCGAACAAACACACACAAACACACAAACGTAAAAGATCACATTGCTCGTTCGGTTTCTTTTGCATGCCTTTCCTCGCCTGGCTCGTCGGAAGACTCATGCGTGGTTTTAACTCATTCCTTTCAGGTGTCTACGTGTTGGTAGATCACAAAAAGTATGCGTCACACCGGCCTTGTTTTCGTGATCATGGATTTAATCAAAATTTTATTCCTTGCGTTTTGCAATTCAAAAGTGTCCTGCAGATTAATTCCTGCTACACCAAATAATCTTTGTAATGGCTCTATCATTTGAGCTTAACCTTCTTTTCTTTTCATGTGTGAATGCCATCTGAAAGAGACGCTCAGGAATAAACTGAATACATCACTACAAACACTCCGTCTAGCAGCGGGCATATTTTCAAATAAAAATACGGATACTCTCAACCAACGGATATCATTTACCTTAGCAGAAGTTCCCACAAATTATGAGTGTGAGAGAACCATTCAGAACGTTACCAGTTCTACTACCCGGGGTTACTAATGGCTTCTATTCGATTGCATGAACAATTTGTTTCATGCAGAGCAAAGGAAGTGTGTGAACTACAACCTCCCGGGAGAAGTACCCGTACAGCACCTGGTTTGAACAATACCGTTCTCGGTTTGATCCAATCAGCTGCGAATCACTGATCCGGGACCTCAGGAGCCATTCTATCTACACGAAAACCCAGAAGCTGACCGGACCGTTCCGCTGTATCCGTGCACGATATAGCCAGATTCATCATTGCAAGCGCGTTAGGAACAGTTACTCCGGCTAACACTAGATTCCAGGGGATTTGATGCATTCGGAAGCAGTTCACTCGTAATCTTCTCCACACAAATTTCTGAAACTGATAATAATCGGATTCAGCGCTTTCCATGCAATCTAACAATAACTGAAACCCTGAATTCGAATATAAGTAGAGCACTTCTAACTGCAAACGACCAAAACGACGGAGTGTTTGAACAATGCAGATGCACACCTTTCAACAATTTGATGGAATGTGCAATGCAACCAGTGAATCCACGACAAGAGGGGCGTGTGCATCCGCGTGCAACGCACTCGCACAAGATAGAACAGCCCATTATTGTCTTTATTGTCTTTCCACTCGGACGGTATGCGAGTAATACGTTGGGCTTAAGCTTATGAGTCATCTAAAGCGACATAGGAGATTTTATTTGCTCACGATAGTGAACTGCCGATGCAGCGAACAGCCACCACTGAAGCGCCCAGTAATTAAGCCGGAGCAACCCAGACACGGCGAATTCACTGGGATTGAAACCCTGACACCAATTTTCGAGTGATGAGTAGTGTTATCTGCAGCATATTATGTAATGGATAAACGTTTAATCCTGTAGT